AAACCTTAAACACTAAACCTTAAATCCTAAACACCAAAACCCCAAACGCTTGGGATTTAGGCTGGAAAGGGTCAAGGTATAGGATACACGATTTCAGGCTTAGGGATTAAGCCTTAGGAGCAGATGATCCTAGGGTAGGCTTATGGCGTCAAGGGAAATATGTGTTGGGTTTAGGGTTTAGGGCTCAGGGTTTAGGTTTTAATTTTTGTCTTTTTTTGGACCCCTATTATTTTACGGCACCTAATATTCAGGGTCCAAAAAGGGACCATCATTTTGACAACCGCCCATATAGGGTTAGGGATCCTCCTTTAAGATGCTACTGAGGTCGCTTTTGCTTAAAGAATTTATTGGCCCAAAATCCTGTAAACCTTCTATGAGAGGCTCCACAGTTTGCTTGTACACCCTGTATATGACCCGTCACTTTTGTTTTTCGCCCTGCAATTGGACACCCAAAATATATACTCACCAATTTTCCTAAGGTACCTGGGTCCAAAACCGAAAGGTAAGACCTAAATCATGGAACAAGACTCTGAATGGAGCAAGTCTTGCACCAAATTACACACCTAATGCTCTATGGGAATTAAAGCGCTATGAACTCCTAAAACCCTAAGCCCCAAAACAAAAACCATAAGCCTCAAACCCCCAAAACTAAAACCCCAACTCCTAAACCCTAAGCCCCAAACCCCTAAGCCCTTAAACCCCTAGACCCGAAATCCTAAACTCTAATCCCTAGACCCTAAACCCTAGACCCTAAACCCCGGCATTTCCAGATCTCTTTTACTCCCAGGAATTCCCGGTGCGTCGCAGCCACCAACAATCCCGGGTCAGCCTTGGTTTAGGCTTGAGGGTCTGGGGTTTGGGGTTTAGGGTTTAGGGTTGAGGGTTTGGGGTTTGGGGTTTAGGGTTGAGGGTTCGGGGCTTAGGGGTTTAGGGCTTGGGGTTTGGGGTTTAGGTTAAGGGATTAGAGCTTGGGGTTTAAGGTTTTGGGGGTTGGACCTTAACCGCTAAGCCCGAAACCCAGGGTTCCCGAAACCCAGGGTTAAGGGGTCTTGGCCAAGCTGAGGCTCTAGGTGCAGGCTTTTGATTCGGGACTGTTTTGGGAATCAGTTTCTTGAGCAATTGACTCGCCCCATATGATCCACAGTCTAAACTCCTACTATCCCCTGTACTATCTCCTATAGGAGTCCCCTAGATCATCCCTTGCATAACCGATGTATGCCGGGCCTTGTAGATAATTGTACATATGTAAGGATCACAAGGGGTAATCTTTGTGATTCACGCCGCCATGGTAAAGTCAAAGCCCTAAACCCTAAACCCTAAACCCCAAACGTGTTCCGGCACCTCAACAACGCCAAGGGACGAAAGCAGAGCATCCTAAGCTGCTTTTGACAGACTTACCTCTTAGGGTTTAGGGGTAAACCTCTAAAACCAAAAAAAACACGCCCTATAAACCTGACCAGCATCATGCCTGAGCACAAACTCGTTCACAGCTCTGACAACACCTTGCAAGGAAGGTTCAAGTTCGTATTTAGGGTTCAGGGTTCAGGGTGAGCATATGGAGGTCGGACATTTAGGGTGTTGGTTTTTTCAAGTTGGGGTTCTAGGTGGTTGGGATCTAGGACTTAAATCTTTCAGGCTTGAGGGTTTAGATCTCAGTTCTACACAGCTGTTCTGAACCCTAAATTCCTAAACGTCAAAACTTGAAGCCTGAAACCCAATGCACTCCCCCTTTGTCTATTGATCTGGTGTGTTTTTGAGAAATCTAAACTTGATGACCACCATCTGGATACATGGCAGTTCATTACCTTTCCTAATGCAAGTATGTTTACTGGATTCGAATAGCACAGCAGCAAGCCAGTGGCGGCCCCTTTTTTTGTATTCCCGGAATCCCTTAGAGTTCCCCCCTGGCCCAAACGCTGAGCTCTGATGCCTGAACAAACTTTTCATCCTAACCCCACAAAACCCTAAATCCTGAATCCTAAGTAGTGTTCAGGTTTGAAGCCCTGTACCCTATACCCCAGGGCGCCAGGTGCTGATGCGATGTAGTCGTGGCCAGCTAAGAGACCCCCAGGTGCCACTTTGGGAGACCAGTGGAGGATATCTTCCTGCGGGCGGCTTGCCGGTGGTTATTGGTTGCTGGTCCCTTTTTGATGCTTTTCGGGAGCCCTGGACCCTGTCCCCTAAACCCTTAACCCTAAACTCTGTCCACTAAACCCTGATACCTAAACCTGAACCCTGAACCCTAAACCCTCTCCCCTAAACCCTGATACCTAAACCTGAACCCTGAACCCTAAACCCTGTCCCCTAAACCCTGATACCTAAAACCTGAACCCTAAACCCTATAAGCCCTAAGCCGTCTACCTACAGCCCGCAAGTCGTCCTGGACGGAGGCGTAGTCGTGGGCCGCATCGATGAACACCAGGTCGACCGACCCTGGAGCCTGAGGGTCTGGTCATTGGCTTTTTTGGGGGGGCCTTTTTTCCAGGGCTTAACGGGTCAGGGTTTAGGATTTGGGGTTTGGGGTTTAGGGCTTAGGTTTAGGGCTTAGGGTGTTAGGTTTAGGTCTGAAGGTTTAGGGTTCAGGGTTTAAGGTATTGTACTCGCTCAGGGGCATGCAGGATTGTGTCCATCAACCGTATACGGTCAACTCCCTCTAGCCTTTATGCCTGTAGAACTTCTATATCACCCTATAAACCCTCTGCAAAATCTGCCCTGAACCTTAAACCTGGGGCTACACTATATGAGCCACGGTCAGTGTTTCCCATCTAGTTAATGGACATGGGTTCCGATTTAATATGGTACGGAGCATACTAAACTACCAAAGGGACCTCTTTGTCCACCCCTGAATGGCCCCTTCGTAAACCTAAACCCTCAAACTGTATCCATCAGCTCCAAACCCTAAATCCTAAACTCTTCATGGTGCCATGGTGAGCCTAAAAATGACGAGAACCCCTACGCCCTAAACCTTAAACCATAACCCTAAAACCCTAAACCCTAAAACCCTAAACCCTAAACCCTGAACCCCAAACCCTAGATCCTGAACCCTAAACCCTAACACCCTAAATGCCCTGAACCCGAAGCCGCGTGGTCACGCAGGATACCGTACATAGTAGCATGTCAGGCCCCAAGTCTGGTCTGGTCGGGCACGTGCTAGGGTTTAGGGGTTTGGGGTTTAGGTTTTGGGGTTCAGGTTAAGAACTCTAGTTTTTTTTTGTTGGGGGGCGGTCACCGAGCAGTATGTTCTGCCAGGATGAAACTTGTCTGCAGCAGTTCTACCGCCAGGCCAAGGCACGCAATTGTCGGGTCAAGGACTCTAAACTACCCTAAAGACCCTAAGGTCCTTGAGCCCTAAGCCCCTGAAAGCACCTAACCTCGAGGTCGGAGCCCTCCAGCCTAATGCAAAAACAGCCTGGGTTGTTGTAAAGGAACTTAAGTTAAGTTACCATAATGCGTATATATGGGGTATCTAGAGTTTCGGGCTTAAGTTACCATAATGGGTATATAAAGTAAGTACTAGGGTTTCCCCAATATAGTAACTTAAACTAATTCCTTAACAGCAACCAAACAACTTTAAAGTTATCCCAATTTTGAACTCTCTACCTCGGTAATGTAGACCCATGATTAATAAACCCCTCCTTCTAAGGGCCCTAATACTGGGGATCCCTATTATAATCCCTATTAAAGGGCGGGGGGGTTCTTAATCAGGGGTCTGGGTTATCCTATATGCCCCCCTATTCTGTAAAAGAACCCTGGCGCCCTGAATAATAGCTTCTGTTTAAATCGCATGGTCCATCTGACTTTCCACGTCAAGCCCATGAATCACTGCAGGCCTGTAGGACCAGTTTTAATGGGGTATATAGGGATTTATAAGGTTTAGGGTTTCCCAAAATTATGGGTACCATTTTTGGGGTTCCCACTAATAAGGACTATAGTATTTGGGGGTCTATATTGGGTCCCCTTATTTGGGTGCACGTTTGTAACCCTGAATCCTGAAGCTCAAGCGCAGGCGGCGCGACGACCCGGCTGGAGGCAGTCGCAGATGGCTCACCTATCCAAGTGACCCGGCGCGCGTATGCCTCCCAGCATGAGGTTTTCGGTTTTGGGGGGTTAGGGTTTTTCAGTTTGGGGTTATAGGCTTAGGGTTTTTGAGGGTGCGGTTGGGGGCTTGAAGGTTTGGGGTTGTAAAATCAGGGTTTGGTTTCTCATAGCAAGAATCATTTTCTTTGGTAGGCATTGCGGAGATAATTGACTTTCTTTGAGACTGACCCATCTGCGGGAAGTTCGGGAAGTATTCTCGGAAGTATTCTCTACAGCCTAAACCCCTAAAGCCTAGACGCGAATCCCTAAACTGTCGGGTTGGTTTGCACTGGGCTAGCAAAATCTAAAGGGGAAACCAAACTGGAAAGCCCTGTATGAAAGCCCGATGCTCAGAAAACTCGCGCCATCCCCGCAGCAGGCACTCAAATTCCTCCCTTGGCCCCCCCCTCTGACTCCATTTTCTGGAGAACTAAGCCACATGGTTTAAGGTTTAGGGCTATGAAATCTGACCCAGAATCCTAAAGACAGTCCTTTGCCGACAGGCCCTTTGCAGTACTCCCCATCATCCCTCATCGTTCCTTGGCGAATGGGTTGTCAATGATTCACAAACAGTTTCAATGATTCACAAAAAGAAGAAGCCTGCAAAGACAATCCTAACAGCACTTGCCCACCCTTCCTTGCTAAGGATCCTTATTGCATGACTGACGCTGAAACGCTCAAGGGGCTGCTGTGCACCTCAAGTATTTAAGATTAGGATTTAGGGATCATGGAACCGAAAACAATTTAAAAGATAGACCCTGAAGAACCAAACTTTTGAAACCTAATTGCATAAACGTTTTCAGGGTTTAAGGAAGCCTTTCGGGCTTTTACAAATTTGGGAAGGTGATGGAAGGTATTGCCGGGCGAACACTCCGCACTTACACTCACCAAGAACGCAAAAGGAATCTAACATGCACACACCAAGATCCTGAATCACAACCTACATTATGTACCACCTCTGGGAATCTATGTCTCAACCCTACACCCTAGACTCTAGGCATTATATATGAATAATACGCGAAGACCGCTTCAAACCTTAGGCAACCTCAACACCCATCCCTGCACACTGCTTGCATAACACCCTAAGCCGTTCTATATTTGCATAGAAATAAATAAACAAATTAAATGAACAAACAAATGGATAAATAAACGAATAAGCATTTAAATAAACACACACGCACATATGTATATATGCATGTATATCATTGACAGCAAATATGTGCAGTACCCATATCTTGGACTTTCTCAACAGAATCCCTCCGCTATCTATCTGGCCGACCGCTCTATACTCGCTTTATATCCCTATCCCTGCAACCCCCCTGCTTTTAGAGGGGACTTCCTACTGCAGATGGAGGACCTCTTGCACCGCCGCCTACACCTTGTGCCCAAAGAATTAGAGTATGTTGGGGGTCCCTTGAGTGGCGCAAGATTTCCGCCATCTACTGTATCTCCCACGATTTCATGGGCCTTGGTTCGCTTCAGGGCTTCGGGTCGGATGATCACCTGGCAGATGCATTTACAGCTTCCAGTTCATGGTTTGATTGTCGCTTTCAAATGTTTGGGCTCAGGGGTTCGGGCTTAGGGCTTTTGTTTACTTTCGCTATGAGCTAAACCTACCAAACCCTCCCAAAGAGTCCAGACAAGAAAAGCCTCTGGCCTATGAGGGTTTAGGGTTTAAGGTTTAGGATTCATTTAAGGTTTAGGGTCTATTTAGGGTTTAGGGTTTAGGGGTTTATGAACCTGTATGGTCTGCATGTGGAAGGTCTAGGTACTTCTCTTCTATTACCTATCTGCATGTCCCAAACCCATATTTACTCCTTACCCCGACAGGGTCCCAAAACGAGGATACGGATTTTCTTGTAGGGGTATGCTCCTGGAGTATCTTGAATGCTTCTTGGTTCTTAGGGCCGGCACTCACCTTGAACCCTAATCCCTGGTTAAACCTAAAGCCTATGCCTCCATCCCAAACTCTAAGCCCGAATCCTTAACCTTAGAATCCAAACCTTAAGCCCTATTTCATCCTAAACCCTAAACCCTAAACCCTAAGCTCTAATCCCTGCGCACGTCAACCAAGATCATCTGCAGGTTGGTTCTTCGCTTCAGCAGCGCTTCGGTGGTGGCGGCCTGAGGCGGTCAAGCAGGCTTCAGTACTTAAGGTTAGAAGTATGGGCCCCTAATATGGGCCCTTAGGCCTTTAAGGGGGATTCTAGAGGGTATATAGTAGGTACATGGAGCCCAGGGTTAAGGGCCCATACTAGGGGCCCGTGATTTCAATCTTAGACAGTAGATAAAGCCTACCTGGGTTTTAGGGTGTAAGGGGTTTAGGGTTCAGGGCTTAGAGTCTACCTGGAGACCCAATATATGTAGCAGAATTGCCCTTTGATTCTTTAAGGGTTTGGGGCCATCATTTTACCTGCTTTGGGGTCCAGGTACCTACCTGTAGATCCAGTCGGCTATAATTAGGTACTCTGTTCTAGGAATTCGTCATGTCCCCCTGTTTAGAGCAAATCAAGCCAGGGGGAAGGTAGGAGGGTAGTACAGGAGCGATAGTCGGGGAACCTGAGGTACCTGTATAGAACCCCAAGCACCTATAGTTGAATGACACTTACGCCAGGAATTGGTAGGACAAGCCATAAAAACCTAGGTAATCGGGGCTAGAAGTAGCCTTCCATATGTGGTTGACATTCAGGCTTTATAAGAATTGGGCTTTAAGCTCGCCACATCGCAACTGTGAACCCCAAACCCTGAACCCTAAAGCCGAAACCCTAAACCCTATATCCTAAACCCCTAAACCCTACATCGTAAACTCCCAATCCCACGTTCAGACCTGAACCCTGAACCGGCGGCGGTTCACGCAATCAAGCCTTTTGTTTTTCAGGGTTGCTGTTACCTAAACGGTCCGTGGACCCAAATCATAGGGTCTTAGGGCCCAAATGCTGCATTATAAAGGGATTGTATAAGGGAAGAGACAAGATGTAAGCTGCTACATTATAATGGTTTCGACCTTGGACCTGGGCGGTTGCGGTTTGGGGGGTTCAGGGTTTAGGGTTACTGGGTTGCTGTTAAGGAACTTAAGCTAAGTTACTATAACAAGAAAACCCTATACCCATTAATTATGTGTTAACTTAGATCAAGTCACTGGAATAAGGAGACCCTAGTATTCACCATATATCCATAATATGGTGTAAGTTAGATTAAGTCATTATAATAAAGTATTGACCAATTCCCATAATAAAGTAACTTAAAGCACATTCCTAAACAGAACCCAGTTTAGGGCAGAGGGTTTAGGGTCTGGGTTGTAGTCAATCCAAAGGCTCTGAACCTTGGAATCCCAATGAAGAACTCGAACTTGACAGTCTAGGGTGGCGGGGCGTGGGGTTTGATTAGGGTTTTGGGTTTAGGCGGACAGTTTAGGGTTTAGGACTTGGGTTTTGTTTGTCCTTTAGGGTTTGGGGTTTAGGGTTCGTATCCGGGATTTCGTCATTGACATTCGATCAAAAGCCCGGAAAAACTGTGTTCAACAACCGGGTCGTTGCCATGGAGCTTCTAATCATGTACCAGCACATAAAAGTTATAAGAAACCATTGTTCTCCAGTACAGTACGACTTATGAATATTTTTTGGGCACCTTGAGCTTAACCCTACACCCCAGATCCTAAACTTTGCTTACATTCACTGATTAATTGCATGCCAGACAATCGTGAACCCTGCACCCGTCTTTAAACCCCGAACCTTAAACCCTAAACCCTAAATACATCCTAAACCCTAATCCTTCAAACCCAAGCCTGAAATCCTAAACCCCCCAACCCCAAAACCCCATATAAAGAAATCCTGAATCCAAAACCCCGGGTTTAGCGTTTAGGGTTGTGAACCCTACATATAGCCTCAATAAACACTCGAAAGGCCCTAACACCTATGATAAACCCACTTCCCTGGAGCCTGGTTCACGCCAAGCTCAACCATGACCAGCGATTGATTCCCCGCAGCGCGCGAGGATAGTGTCTCCTAAGCTAGGTAGGCTTTAGGGTTTAAAGATTAAAGAGTTTAGGGGTTTAGGGTTTCAGGTGTTTAGGGTTTTAGGGGTTTAGGGTTTTAGGGGTTTTGGGTCTTAGGGGTTGAGGGTTTTAGTGGTTGAGGGGTTTAAGGTTTTAGGGGTTTAGGGTTTAAGGATTTAGGGTTGAAGGGCTTTGGGTTTAAGAGTTGAGGGCTTTAGGGTTTAAGGATGGGATGCAGGATTTAAGCTTTAAACTTTAGGTTTCGGGCTTAGGACTTAGCGACACCTAGGGTGTATCGGGTGGTGGCAGACATCCAAGATAAATGTAGTTAAGAGTTAGGGGGTAGACCCCCTGATCAAATGATGACCTCCAACATCCCTAGTGCCCCTAAGCGTCCCCTAGACCCTAAACCCTAGACCCTAAACCCGAAACCCTAAACCCTGAACCCCTAAACCCCTAAAACCCTAAACCCCTAACCCCTAAACCCCTAAAACCCTAAACCTCGTCTATATTCAGAAGCAAACGCCGCATGTAGGTGCTATGGGCGCGTGTGTGCAGGCTAAACACTCAACTGGGTTGCTGTTAAGGAACTTAAATCAAGTTACCATAATGGGTTTAGGGTTTAGGGTTACCATAATGGGTATATATAGTAAATAATAGGGTTTCCCCAATATAGTAACTTAATTTGAGTTCCTCAACAGCAGCCCAATCAACTCTAACTTCACCCTGTAACTTGGCGAAAGCCCAACCCTTAGTTTAGGGTTTAGGGTTTAGGGTTTAGGGTCTAGGGTTTAGGGTTTAGGGCCCCCAGCGCATGTAGAAAAATGGCCTTCGGGCTCGTTTTGGGAGGTGGTTTTGGGCCATTCTTTTGCTCACTCCTGGGGCTAAACAAAAAAAGCACTTAGCTCGAAGCTCAACTTGCAGTCTGTCATGCCAGGCCCCTCACTTTAGCTAATGATGTGGGTTTTAGGGGGTTAGGGGCTTGGGGGTTTAGGGGTTTAGGGATTTAGGGGTTAGGGTGTAAGGTTTAGAGTAGCTAATGATGTAAACCTGAACGAGGACTCTGATCTTTTCACGCTCGTCTTGTTCGCGAAACTAGACGCCATACAACCTTAAGCCCTACATTCCGAGGCCAAGGCCGAAACCCTACGAAGCCCTAAGCCCTCAACCCTTAAACTCCAAGTCGCAAAAGTAAAACGGATTGTGGGCTGGGGGCCGAGGCGTCTTTGGAACGGGTTTAAGGCTTTGTCCCCTCAAAGGGCTGAAGAATCCGAACCTGCTTTAAAACGCGGACTCCCCCTAAACCTGAAGACCAATGCGCACGAGTCTCTAGCATGTGGCGCAAGGCATAGACGCGCGATGTTGGGTACATCTCGTCCCCTATCTCACCTGGCCCCCAAGTCTCTTAGAAAACAAGATATTAAATAGTAGTTTCCACTGCATTTTCCATTCTCCCTATAAACCCCCAAGATATACCCTAAAATTACCCCAATGGGATATGAATCGTTGCTGTTGTTTCTGGCTACCAGGCGGTCTTCCTCCCTATCGCCGGAAACTACAAAGTGGTGTCAGACGAGTGGGACAGCGGTCTAGTCTGGGAGGACAAGGTGATCCCACTCATGCACATGACAACACTGCGAGAATGTGTCGCAAAATCATGACATGTAGGTGTTATCAGGGTTTTGGGTTTAGGGCTCAATCAATGCTCTTCCTTTTGTTTTGACGAAATAGACCTCCCACCCCTACCCGACCCCAAACCCAGAACTCCAAGACCACCGCCCTAAACCTTAAACCCTCCACCCGAATCCCCAAACCCAACCTGGACCAAAGCAGGTAACACAATTGCCCAACACCCCTAAACATAGCAAACAAAAAGAATTATATACTTTGGGGGTCCAGGTACACCCCTAGTCGCTAAACCCTAAACACTACAAACCCCAAACCCCAAACCTTAAATCCTACAGTCTAAACCACAAACCATAAACACTATAACCTCCAAAACCCTATTTCCTAAGGTACCCAAGCCGGCTCACCGTCAACTCCCCCATCTGCTTCCCAAGCATAGCGCCAGCGCGGGAGCAAGAAGCTGCTCTCCTGGGTGGGTAGCGAGGGTTTAGGGTTTTAGGGTTTAGGGATTTAGGGTTTTCCTGAGTAGGTAGGTGTTTAGGGTTTCGGATCTAGGGATTGAGGTTTCGGATCTGGGGATGTAGGGTTGGGGTTTAGGCTTTAGGGGTCCAGGGCTTAGGGCTTAGGGTTTTAGGAAGAGTACATGAGAAAAGCCGCGTAACTATCAGGTTCCTGTGACGAGGAACGATCCTTAAGTTCCAGGGTCGACAGTTGAGGCCTAAACCCCAAATCACTAAACCCTAAATCCCAAACCATGAAACCCTAAACCCTAAAGCCCTTTACCCTGGATCTCAAACCATAAAGCCCTGAACCTTAAGCCCCACGTTTAATCCGGCTTGAGGAGTGATCAAAGGAGAGGGTTCGAGGAGTACCTTGGGTCATTGGGAGGGGACCCCAACAGTTGCCGCATCAGTTCAGCCACTAGTCCCTAAGTCCTATATAGGTCCCAGGTCATGAGAAACTAGGGTTGATCCAAAGTCAACCTTTTGATTTATGTTTGTATATATTATCCTGAGCTGTTGAAGGTTATCCACTGGACAAGTAGATGTCGGATTGGCTTAGGGTTGGTGGCTTTAGCTGTTGGCTGGCGGCGTCGAGGGCTTGTTTAAATGGGCCGGAGAAGTTTGATTTCCGCTGATTGAGATGCCTTCCGCCAAAGAGCTGGATGTGGGTATATATTTTCTAGGGTATATAATAACTGCGACGTGTAGGAGGATGTGTAGGAAGACTGAGTTGCGCACGTTTGCAAGCCTCATTGGTGGGGAGCCTCATTCGCAGTCATTCCATTCGCACTCATTCGGCCGTAGGCTTTTTGAAAGAAACAGGGCCAAAAACACAGAAAAGCAAAGTTAAAGGGAGGCCTGCCTGCACTACCAGAAGTCCCATGAGAGCCCTAGGACTTACATTAGCTCAGGTAGCCTGAATGGTGCAAGATTTCCTCAATCATTTTTAAAAGTGTCTACACCATGGGAAGAACCAATTCTAAGTGGCTGATCTTAGGGGATCCTAATGTGCAGGTGGTCTGCTTTGGGCGGGAAAAGAACCTTCACCAAGCCGCAACGATGGCGTACTTCCGCATAAGGAGCCAATGCCTTGACAAGACAGTTTAGGGTTAGGGGTTTAGGGTTTAGGGTTTGGGGTTTCCGGTTCGGGGTTTAGGGATTTCGGGACTATCCCCAGATATCCTCCCGTCAGAAAAATATTACGAATGTACTATCTTCTTAGCAGGCATGTAGCTAATATGTCTATATCTATATAGCAACACTTACATACACACATATACACATCTGTGCTACTGCTACAGTGTGAGGGATGGACTGAGTATGTAGAGACCCAGGTGGGTTGCCTTTGCAGAATCTGTAAAGTTGTTGAGGGTTTGCGGTTTATAGGGTGTAGGCTTTGGGGTCTACAGATTGTGCCTTCGAGATGAAGGTTCAGGAATTTCAGAAAATGGGTGGTGGTTTTGCTGAATATGCCGAAATGTTGAAAAGATTAGATCTTAGGTTTGAGGCTTTTGGTAGGATTCTGGAAGCGGGCCCATGGTCTTCATAAATCATTGCACTCAACTGGAGGAGTACCAAGAGTTCTTGCTAACCGCACATCATATATCCTAGAGCCGAGGAATTGCACCCCTCCAAAAATGTAGGGGTTTAGGGTTTAGGGATTCCAGACAACTCCTATGAGGTGCTGAGGCACACGAAATAATTGCCGATGACTAGGACGCGGGAGTAGTCAGGGGATCGGAACAAATCCTAGCGCCTAGACAACCTACTCGCTATTCTCCAAACTCGCCCTCTACCCTGAAATCCACAAGCCCTGAACCCCGTCAAGCTGGATTGCTGTTCAGGAGCTTGAATTAAGTTACCGCATTATCGGTATAGAGTAATTCGGGAGTTTCCTTATTACTGTAAATAAATGCAAGTTCTTTAGCAGCAACCCAGAAGCCTTAAACCCTAAAACCTAAACCCTGGGCCTTGGCCCATTCTAATGTAGTAGTTCACATCTTCTCTTCCATTATCCTAAATAATCTCCATATGAGCTACAGTCTAAACTCCTTGGATGGGGAACTATATGGGAGATTATATAAGGGACTACTATAGGGTTTTTCAGGGGG